GGAGTTCACAGGTATTAAGGGGTTGCAGGAATTAAGCAGAGCAGTGGAAGATAAGGGGGTCTTGAAGAGGTCTCATCCATAGGGTTGCCAGGAGTCGAGATCGACTTGAGGGCAATTAACAACAACAAATATCAACTCAAGTTTATTGTACATTAGCCGACCAGACTTGTGCATGGAAAATGCTATATTTACCCATTAAGTCCCAAATTAGCAAATCTATTGTCAAGAGATAGGATGCTACAACAATTAATACAACTTTTTATGTTAGCCTAAAAGAGAGCCAGCATGGTATAATGGCTTGAGTGTAGGACTAGGACTCTGGAGGATGGTGGTTCACTCCTCACTTGCCTATGGAAACCCACTGGGTGACCTTGGGTGAGTCACAGACTCTCAGCCTCATAAAATCCCATGATAGGCTCACCTTATGGTCACCATAAGTTGGAAATGACTTAAAGGCACACAACAACAATAGGAGAATAGTCTCTCTGCCACTTTCTTGAGAACAACAGCTCTCTCATATTGTTGCTGTTTGTGTTTCTTCACTTCCTTTAGTTCAGAGGAAGGAAAGTTGTGTCTCTACAAATGGTGGATCCCAGTTTTCACCAATCCTCCAAGCATAGCCAGTGGGAAGGAATTATAGCAATGGTTTCCAACGTTTGGTCCTCCATTTATTTAGGATTTCAGATCCCAGTAAACCCAGGCAACGGAGTCAATAGTCAGGAATTATGAGAGCAAAACATCCAGAGGACCAAAGGTTGGATCCACTGGATTATAGGAACTGTGGCTCAGCAACACTTGGAGAACCACAGGTTTCACATCCCTAATTTAGTTGGACAAAATCTTTTTTTAAACTTTTTTTTAAAAAACCTTTTTACTTACCTCTTACATGTGTTGTTCATACTATTTAATACAGTTCTATATTTTCTAATCAGCATCTCCATCCTGATCAGAGGATAGCAACATCCAGCTTTGCCAGTCAACCAGATTTAAAGCCCTGTTACCAGCTCTCTCTGACAGTTTCAAAAGAAGCTCCCCCTGAGTTTCCTTTCGACTCCCTTTTTTCTTTCATGTTATGTCTCTGAGTTTGTAAACCTATGGCCAAGGCCTGTTTCTTGTCTATCACTACATTTTTGTATATTAAAAAAAAACAAAACAAAAAACTGTTAGACCCCAGTCCACTCTACCTCCAGCGCAATGGTGCACTGACATTTAATTACTATCTTTCCTACTTCAGGGAGTGTTTACTGGAACATTGGAACTCTCTCTTTAGTGGAAGGGACACATGAGCCAAAGAATAACAAAATCCAATATTCTCCAAGCTACTGCCTTCTGGCTATACTGGGTTATAGTACCTATGATCTCGAGTTGGGGATGATGCAACTTGTCTGACATATTTGAGCATCAGGAAGACTGAAGCTGTCTGTCCAGAGTCAGTTTCTAATGAACATCATGCATTTGACTGGCTGCCCTCTCACCAGGAGGAAATTAGTACATAGCTTATCTAGATTTGGGGTTAACTTAGATATAACTTAAACAGCCTCACTTGAATATACTTTAATCAGTCAGTTGTGCTTGCAACTTAAACTAGTGGTGAAAGTCTTTAAGTACCGTATATTATATATAAGCCTCTCAATGCTGGTGTTTGAAGAAATGGCTTCAAGGTACATTGGTGATTGTGTCTGCATATACACTGTAGAAGTAATGTGGTTTGACACCACTTTAAGTGCTGTAGCTCCATCCTATGGAATCCTGGGAAATGTAGTTTTGAAAGTTATTTAGCCGCCTTTGCCAGAGTACAAGTGCCTCACAAAACTACAAATGGGTTCTCTAGGATGGAGTTGTGGTAGTTAATGTGGTTCTGAACTGCATTATTTCTACAGTGTAGATGCACCCTGTGACTCAGAAAATGTAGAGTGAAAGGGATTCCATGTAAATTCCCAGTCTTTCCTAGAAATGGAATTTACAAGATGCATAGACATTTGCCTAAAAGCCAATGCACTGAAGAGAAGCAATGCCTCTAATCTCATTTATGTGGAGTCTGTGTGGGCATTTTTCTTCAGGGAAGTAAATTTACTTTGATCATGGTCAGTGGCACAATTTTTAAATTATTTACTGTACATTGTGGCTGAATTGCAGCATTCCGAATGGTTTCTGGCCAGAGCTGTCTCCAGTCTACATCTGATCAACAATAAATTCTTAATCCATTCTAAAATTAAAGAATGCTATTTTGAACTGAAGCTTTAAAGACAATTGGAAAGGGCTAGCTCCATTGAACCATATGAGATTTACATCTGAGTAAACATGAAATCAGTGAATATTTTGGATATGCTCATATTGGTACACATGAGAGAAATTTCCAATGTCTTGAAGCATTCATTTAAGGAGAAAGTAATAAGGTGATGTAAGTGATGGGTCTACAGAAGATGGAACAATCACTGTCATGCATTTACCAACCCTCTTGACAAATACTCATTTTGCTGTATGCTTTCTGAATGTACACAGCATGAAACTGGCCAAGGGACAGCACCATGTTGGGCCAATTCAAAGCCAATTTGAGCTGTATGAAAACAATCTTTGTCTCTCAATGCGTACTTCACAATCAACCTCAGAATTAACTTATTTCACTAGCTGGAAAAATAAAACTACAGGGACAAGAAGTTTGTTTCCCTCCCCCCCATATATATCTACATATTGTAATCTCAGCATGGTGTGGTGTTTGAGTGTTGGACTATGACTCTGGAAACCAAGGTTCAAATCCTGCTTGGCCATGTAAACCCACTGGGTGATCTTGGGCAAGTGACATGCTCTCAGCCTCAGAGGAACCCACCTCTGAAGAAACTTACAAAGAAAACCCCATGATAGGGTTGCCATAAGTTGAAAACAACTTGAAGACACACAAAAACAACAAGGCAAAATTAAGCCACTGTGGTGTAGTGATTTGAGTGTTAGACTACAGTTCTGGAGACCAGGGTTGGAATCCCTGCTTGACCATGGAAACCCACTGGGAGACCTTGGGCAAGTCATATTGTCTCAGCCTCCCAGGCAATATATCCTCTGAAGAAATCTTGCTGAGAAAACCCCTTGATGCTTCACCTTATGCTCTCCATAACAAAAATGAGTAATGAGGGGAGGGGAGAATTAGGAGAAGGTTTTAAAAGAAACAATTACAGCATTAAACCATCCCAAAACCAATGATACTATGATGCAATTTTTAAAAAAATTGCCAAGCTATATTATGAATGCAAGTCAGTCACTCAGTTATTTTAAGCACATGGTTAGCCAGCTACAACAGATCAGACGAACAGCCTTTGTGTAGTCTAAGCAAGTACATAAGGTAAGTTTACACAAATTTATTTCTTGTACAATACCTTTCATACTACAATGAACAACTCACCTACCTAGAATTCTGTGGGAGGAAACAAAAAATATGTATGTGAAGAGCATATTTATATTTCTTTCCAATGACACATGCTGGGAAATTGCAGTCAGTTCCCAGCATGTGGATTTAGAGGAAGTCTGTCTGCAGTGAACACGTGAAACCATCTTCATGTGGTTTTCATGCCTTTCCTCGCTTGTCAGGCATCCCTTAGGGATTCACATTGGTTTCCCGATTGTACAGCTGAACGTGTTAACAAAGACCATTGAAAAACCTGGTGTTTGAGATGATGAGTGTTACACATAAGAGGCTCATCTACACATTCAAGATAGTGAAAATAGCAGAAATGGCTGAGTGACCATGTCCAGAGTGGAACTGTCCTCAGAAAAGAGTGAAATAAATGAATGGTGCAATTTGTCATTGGGTTATGGCTAGGAATGTCACAAAGAAATGAATGAAGTACTTAAAAGTCCGGGTCAACTAGTGCCTTGTTGATCTGACCATGGAGGATTCATTGCCACCTTGACAGCGGTCACTTTCCTCCCTTTCTTTGTCAGCTCCATGGTCTGCACAGACCTTCATGCCTTCCATGGTGGAGTGGGTTATGTCATGGATGCAGCATGCAATAGGATCTTGTGTGTCAGGTACCCAACCCCCCCTCCCAACAACCAAAACCCTTATTTGAGGAAGGGGTGCCAAGTACAAGTTTTCTCTACCAAGATGTCAAGAACTCCCAAGTTTAGTTCTGGTGGGGGACATTTAGTAGCTTTATTTTTTTTAATAAGAATTTTGGATCAATTTTTAGTAGAGAAAAATGCAACTTGAGAGGTGGGCCATGCTCTTTAGCCTGGGCATGCTGCTGTGATAAATACAATTCAAATCTGTTCACCCATATTGTGCAGCTCAAGAGCAAATGTCAGCTGAATCATTCTTTTTTCAGGGAATGTTAGCACACACATAGCAGCAAAACCATCACCTTTTTGTAGCTTAGTTCCCTCTCATTTTACTCTCCCTCTTTGAAATATTTAACTTGCTTTACAAGATACATTCAAAAATAGAAACATTATGCTCTTGAGGTTTCTTTTGAATCATTAGGTTTCCTTCATTACTGCATGTGCCAAATGCAAACACTTAGGCAAGAACTATGATTGTATGCATTCACATGACCTGAATCTTGTAGGGCATCAAAAGTAAATCGGCACAAAGCTTATATGTTTTTAAAAAAGGATGACATTTTTGATGCTTAAAAGTAGAGATGGTAGACTGTACATTATAGGAAAAATAATACCTCAATGACTGGCCAGAAAAATGTTCTAAAACATTCAAGTTTTGATTTATGATTGTTTGGTCTAATGGATGACAGGTTAAGCATAGACCTGAAGTTTAGGTTCAAATGCAGGCTATAGGTCACAACTATAGGCATTCCACCATATATTAGTTTTATTTCTGTGGTATAAAATAGGAATTGCAGATGTCTTCCATGTAAATGCATGTGGAGACTGCAACCTTGTATTTAATTACTGATTCCTTTTATTTATTTATTTTATAATCCTATTCATTCATATTTTATGGGGATTTGTTGTCTTGGAGTTGTCATGGGAGCCTTTGAAAAGCAAAATGAAAGTTTTAAATTATTGTTATTAAATACAACTGAAATCAATGGGGCCTCCCTCCACATAGCTAATGACAGGAATGGATAGAAAGCAAAGATTATGAAGAATCTTTCAAACTAAAACTTTATAATAATAATAATAGTTAATAGACTAAATCCACATTTATGAAAGGCTTTACAGTAAAGGCAACAGCCTACATCAGTTACAAATGCTAGCAGATGGAGGGAGAGAAAGAATTACATTGAAGACTGTATGTTTTCTTTGTTCAAAATATATCAATATCATATATGCATTTCCCTCCTAAAGTTTGTAGTGGGCAATAGATATTTCCAGAGTGATTTCCAAAAGAGTTTAAAAATATGCTTGCTACAAAGGACAAAATTCCAGTTAATAAAAGCTGGAAAAAGCTTTAAAGAATGTAAAAGCTATGAATGTTTGTTAAAACATCCTAAAACAAAATAATTGCCCTGGTGTCAAAATGATCATAAAGCAGGTGCCAGGTGAGCCTCTTCAGGGAGAGAATTCTATAGGCAAGGTGCTGGTTGCCACCTGCCTTTATTCTGATGATGAAGATGATAATGATGATGTTAATTTATAATGCCCTTTCCACTAAAACATATACATATACATCAAACATATACAGTCAGAGCAAAGCAAATAAAACACAACATTATAAATGTACATAAAAAAAACCCCTCAAACATCCCATCAATCCCTACCATCAGCCACTACCTAGTTCAACAACCTCAGGTACAACTCAGCAGCTTAATCTGGTGAATCAAAGATGAAGGTCTTCAACCCCTTATGAAAACAGGTGGGATCCTCCTCCAGCCAAAAGCCCAAATGAAGACTGTTCCACATATGCAGAGCCAGGTCTTGAAAGGCTTGTAGCCTTGATAATAGCTGTGCAAATTGGTGGAACAGGCAATCATTCTTTGCTTGTAGATCTTGAGTTCCTAGATGGTGCATACCATGCTAGCCAAACTGACAAGTATTAGAGGAGATTAGAGTTTAAAGCCCTAAATGCAAGAACCAAATTTTGAAATGGGTCCTGGCCTGAACTGGTAGCTAGTGAAGGGATATGGGGGGTGGGGAGAGAAACATGTGAATATTTGGGGAGATTTAGAACAACCTGGATGTCACTGTTTTGAATTAAGGCCAGATGGAGAAGAAAGCAAGAAGTCAAACCTGCCAGTAGGCTATTACAATAATCCAGGTGTGACATAACTAAAGTTTGGACAAGCAAGTAGGCCTGGACAAACAGACAGAGACCTGAGGAAGGTTATGTAGATCTCAGAGAACTGGCAGACTGAATCCTGGTTCTGGGGAAAATGTGGGATGATAATGATAATGGTTTGATACATAAAAAGATGGTCCAGTATCTCTCTCTCTCTCTCTCTCTCTGTGGGCACACATCTTCAAGTTGCCTGTTGCCATGAATTTCGTAGAGTTTTCTTAGGCAAGAAATACTCATAGGTGGTTTTGCCCATTATTTCCTCTGAAATAGAGCCTACAACACCCAGTATTCATTGGTAGCCTCCCATCCAAGTACTAACCAGGGCTGACCTTGCTTAGTTTCGAAGATCATATGGGATCTGGTACCTGTAGGGTGTGTAGGTAGAAATCTGTGTCCTAAGTTATCAAGGCTTTAAATGTAAGGACTAGGACTTTGAGTACAGATATGACCAGGAAGCTCATAAAGCTGTTTCACAGCAGCTGTGAAGTTGGAACCTGGCCTTCTGCACATAACAGTGACAGCATAGATATTCTGTTCTATTGCACATTATTAATGGTACAGAAAAAAAGTTTAAAGAGGATGTGAAATACAGTGAAAATAAGGCTGCTTATGTCCTATGAGCCATGTTTAATCTGGAAAAAGTTCACACTCTATTTTGAATTTTCTGGTACTCAGAGACATAGCTGTGTTAGTCTGGAATATCAGTATGCAAAGGGATGTTGTAGCACCCTTGAGAATGGGTGGAAGAAGTTGTAGCATAAGCTTTCACAGACTTGATCTACTTCCTCAGATGCATGCATCTTTCATGCATCTGAGAAAGTAGGCCAAGTATACAAAAACTTATGCTACAATTTGTTTTGTCTCAAAGCTGCTACAAGATCCCTTTACATATTTTCTTGTAGTGTACCTGATGGGGTGGAGCCCTGTGACACTTGTATGTACAAACTGACAAACAAGGACGGAAGAATCCTATGAGCTCCTGAGTGGAATGAGATGTTATGGGGGCCTTGGCAGGAAAGGAAGGGATAGGAAAGTACCTCATTAATCCTGCTTCCATGATCCTTTAGATCAGGCCTGCACAACTTGGCAGTAGGTAGGGGCCAAAATTAAAATAGGCTAAATGTCTTTGGGCTGCAGATAGGTTTAAATTAATAATAATAATAAATTAATAATACTAATTAATATTAATTATAAATTAAGTAATTATAATTAATAATATTAATTAGAATTAATTAATATTAATTCCATCCTCATCCTCATCCTCTGCTTGGTTCTCTCTTCAGGAGAAAGCTGAGCAGCAGGGGAACCTTTCCTGTCCTCCTCCTTTTCTCAGGAGAAGGCCAAGTGATGGAGGAGCCTTGAGGGGCGAGCATTTGCCCCTCTTCTTCCTCTGCCACCCAGCTTTCTCAGGAGAAAGCCAGGCAAAGGAGGAGCCTTGCAGGGTGAGGGTTCACCCATCCTCTTCCTCCACCACCTGGCCTTTTCCTCAAGAGAAAGCCAGGTAGCAGACGAGACTTGCAGGGTGAGCATTCACCCTTCTTCCTCCTCCTCCTCCTCTGTATGGCCCTCTCCTCAGGAGGAGGCCGAGTGGCAGAGGAGCTTTGAAGTTGTTCCACATTTTTGCGGGCTGCCCGTAATCCTTTGGTGGGCTGCATGTGGCCCCCGGACTATATGTTGCACAGGCCTGCTTTAGATCCAGAAGTGCAATGGTTTCTTGTCTCAGTTCTCCCCCTGTTGACAGGTGCTAGGAGGTAACAGTATGCA